TTGGGGTACCAGTAGGAGCTGGAGGCCTCTCCATCATTGGTGGTGTCATAGGAGCTATTATAGGATCACGGCATCCAAAAAACCCTAACAGGAAATCCACAAGTTCTGAACACCAGGGCAGGAGGGACACTGATGGGACCCCTTCAGATGAGACTCCTCTCCTTTCCAGAGAGGAATAATGGGGTAAACGCCCCCACGGATGAACTCCAGGAAGGAGCCTTTTGTAGCCCTGACCACTGGGACTTATTATATACGAAGGGAGAGATGCAGAAAGCGATCTGAGGGGGAGGGATGGAGGACATTAATTCTTGAGACATCTGCTGGGAGGGAAACACAGCAGTGCACACGCAGCCCAGGCAATTCCTGGAGTGTGCTGGGGAAAACTTGTTCATTCAGATAGTAGAGAGTCCAGCGAGGCGGGGAGCTCTTCTTGACCTACCACGGACAAACAGGGAGGAATTGGTTGAGGATGTGCAGGTGGAAGGTAATGTGGGTGACAGTGACCACAATATGATTGCATTCAAGATCCTAAAGGGAAGCAAGTTATCCCAATGAGGTAGAAGAATAGGAAGTGCAACAGGGGACCACCCTGACCAGGCAGTGATCACTTCAGTGAGCTGAAACTGAAAAATAAATCCAGAAAAAAGTGGAAACTTGATCACAAAACTAGGGATGAGTATAAGTGTATGTGCAGGGAGAACATTAGGAAGTCCAAGGCATGATTTAAAATGCAGCTGACAAGGGACATTAGTAGGGAACTCCCTAACTCAGGGTGGCTGCCTCCCAATTTTGCAGTCCCGGCACAGCTTTGGGCACCCACCCCTCCCCTCCCACCCCCCAATTGGCCAAACGGTACTGGAACTCCTGCCCCTCCCTGAAGATTGACAAGTGACCCCAAACCAGGGCTTGCTTATTAATGCTGTAATTAATGGCTTCCCCCTTGTTTGATCAGGGGATTAAGCCCACAGAAGCCATTAATTGCCACGTTAAGCCATCTAGGATGCAGTGAATAGGTTCCCTGGGCTTGATCAGGGGATCGAGCTTGGGAAATCCATTAACTGGATCCAAGACTGCTTCCTAATGTGGCAATTAATGGCTTCCCAAGGCTTGATCAGGGTATTGCCATGCTATCAAGCAGTCTAGGACATGGTTAATGGCTTCCCTGGGCTTGAGCCCCTGAACAAGCCCAGGAAAGCCATTAACCATGTCCTAGACTGCTTAAAAATAACACAGTAATTAATGGCTTCCATGGGCGTGATGAGGGGATCAGTCCCAGGCAAACCATTACTTGGGTCCTAGACTGCTTGCTAATGAAGCAATCCCCTGATCAAGCCTAGGGAAGCCGTTATCAGTTTAGCAAGAAATCTAGGATGCAATTAATGGCTTGCCTGTGTCCTAGACCACTTAATAATAACATGGCAGTTGTTGGCTTCCTGGGGCTTGATGAGCAGAAGCCATTACTTGTCGCATTATTATTATTATTATTATTATTATTATTAAGCACTATAAACACCGAATTAATCTGTAAAGTGAAATGCCTTACTAATATAAAACAATGGACAACATGAATTTCAAGTAATACTTTCTTAAATAATTCCAACTATATACACTTTATTAAATCACTTAAGCACTTAATCAAACTCTAAAATGAAATATCTTGTGAAAATAAAGCTGTCCTGTGCACAACATGAATTGTAACTAATACCAACTATGTACACTTTATTAAAGGATATTATAGAAAGGAGTTTACTGAAACAGATCATCGGGTCCAGCCCCCTGCACTTGGGCAGGAAAGACTGCTGGGATCAGATGACCCCAGCAAGATGGGGGTCAAAATGCTTTTTGAAGATGGCCAGGTTGGGTGACTGTACCACCTCTGGGGGGGCCCGTTCAAAAATCTTGGCACGCTTGTAAAAAAGTGCTTCCTTATGCCTAGCCTGAAGCGATCCTCAATCTTCTAGCGCCCATTATTTCTTGTGCCTCCTGGGGGGCCTTGATGACCAGATGCTCCCCCAGCCCCGGTGTACACCCTTGATATACCCAGGAAGGGCAGGGCAAAACAAATGGTATGCTTCCAGTGTGGGAAGATGGGCCATTTTTCTAAGGATTGTCGAGGAAGGACGGTGGGTTGATGGAGGCCTGATGTCCTAGTTCGGGGCCTTGGAAACAAGAGGAAGGAACCCGAACCTGCAAATGCTATGGACTGCAGTTGTGCAGTCAGTGGAGATAATGCCATATGGAGTTGTCCCATTGTGACAGCTTGGGTAGAGGGCCGCCTGGTCTAGGCAACTGTAGACTCCGGGTGCGCCCAGTCATTGGTCCAGGCTGACCTAGTACCCTCATGAGGGGGCCATCAGGTCTCCCCAGTGAGAATGTCTTAGACATCAAAGGGTAATCATAAAAGGGTCAGGATAAGAATGGCAGGAGGCCTTGAGTGGGGTTCCTAGGCATCTGTCCTGAGTCCCGTCCTATTTACCATGCTTTTCAATTATTTTGATGCTAGAATGTTACACTTCCTCATGAAGACTGAAGATGGCATGAAACTGGAAAGTACTGAACACATTTTGGAGGACAGGCAAATTCAAAAGAATCTTGATAGGCGGAAATATAAGCTAGAGATAATGAACGAAGTTCCCTGCAGACAAAGGTAATGTGCTGCACCAAACAAGAGCAACCCCACACACAATGAGAGCAATCCAAACCCAGGGGATGAAGAACCTTTTTGGCTGAAATGGAAGCGCCTCCTGAATGTAGGCTTGGGGCGCTGGAATGAGGGCAATATGAATATTTGTAATGACCCAAGTCCTGCCTACATCCTGTTTAGGTGTCACTTGTATTGCCAGCCTTGGCCATTTTAAAGGGAGTACTTGCCCCACGGGTGCTACACACCCCTGGCTGCCTCCTTTTGACCCCCCCAAGGGGAGAGGGCACCAAGCTTCCCTGGCAGCGGGGGAGCTGGGTCTGACCTTGACCTGCCAGCCACTGCCACCAGAGCAGTGAGGGGGATCTGTGCTTGCCCAACTGCTGCCACCCCACCCCACAGCTGCCTTCTCCTAAACCCCCAGGGAGCTCCCTTAGCACTTCTGGGTGGAGCAGTAGAGAGGGCTCAGTTGTAGCCGGGTCTGAGGGGGAGTGCATGTGAGTGTGCATGTGTACACACACTCAGACAAAATGCAAGATACAGCACCCTAATCAGCTGCAGGTAAAGCAGGGGGAACACAGTGGTTAAAGTCCTGTGGCTGCAAAGGTTGCTAAGATATGCTCAAGAGATCCCAGGAAGAAGGCCATGCCCCGTGCTGCAAAGGAGACCAAAAAAGCAACAGTCTGTATCAATCTGAATAGAGGTAAAAAATCATTGCTGACCCCAAATATACTGATTAGTCTAAATAAGGGTGAAGGGGAATATCTCCTAGCAAGGAAACCCTGCTTTAAGTCCTAGCAAGAGCACTGGCACAACCCAGTTAATATCCCCAGCCAACACTCGATGCCTCTGAAGAAGGCTTGAAAAAAACCAAACAAACTGATGCACGTAGCAGAAAGTGGCAAGGGGGAGAATGGGTTTGATGCATCTGTGTTAGATTATGGATTTTTATAGGACGGTTTGTCTATGATGATCAAGCCTTGGGCAGAGGGTTGGGCTAGATGTGGCCTCTGGAGGTCCTTTCCAGCCCAACGTCTCTGTGGCTCTGATTCTTAGTTCACCCTCTGGCTTGGCCTGTGCACTTCCTGCTTGCACACTGCAGTGGATGACCCATTCCCCTGGCCTGGGCCTGGAAACATGGAGGGGGAGCTCCCCTAGGGAGTTTCCCTCTCCATTTACACCTGGCCCCTAACCCAGGAGCAGCAATGCGATAGGCGCACAGACATCCTGTGTGCTTTTCCCTCTGCCGCCTCAGGGACCGGGTAGGTGCCACATGCAAGCAGAGGGGAGCTTCTAGGGGAGCTCCTCACTCCATGCTTGAATCCCATGGTGGGGGATCCCCCACATCCCAACAAGGGGACATGTCTGGAAATCTTACAGATGCATGTCCCATCAAAGAGGGGCACCTGGGGCCCTTTTCTCCCAGGATCAGGGCCCTGAGAGGGGCATGGGACTGACCCTGGGGGCCAACAGCCCCAGGGACATCTGTTACACCTCCATGAAGTGGACCAGTTGTGCCATGACATATTGCAGCACAGCTGATGGTGCTCCAAAGACAACTTCTGTCTCCAGCCTGCTTTCTCTCTCTTCCATCCCCCACCCTTCCTGCCTCGCATGTGTTTTTTCCTGTCTCCAACCATCCAGTCTAAGGATCCCACCTCCCTAACTTCCACCCAATCAGTGACTCGTCCTCCATCAAGAATCACCCAAACTGTACTGACCATGCCTAGCCTCTCCCCGCCTCCTTGGCTGAGTGGAGACGCACATTAAGTGACAGCATATAGTTTCAGTTTCATTTCTCCAGCAAAGGTTTCCCTTCGAAGAAAGCAAAGCAGAGCACTGGGACAGGTAATGGATCAAATGAGAGGGTAGTGTGCTGGTTGCAGCTGTCTTGGTCTAAGGACATAGGCAGACTAGGCTCTTAGGGTAGATGTGATATCTTTTATTAGACCAACGGAATAGCCGAATGAAGTTGTTCTTTGCCAGCTTTCAGGCACAAACAGCCTTCTCCAGCCAGAGACAAAGTCTGTTGGTGTTTGTGTGCTTTCCCCGGGGAGAATAGAAACAGAAATGTAGCATGAAGGTCTATGAAGATGCAAATGTGTAGCAGTAAGAGTCAAAGGAAATGGGAGACAATCGGTGTGAAAAGGTAATTTGGGGGAGCGGGGAAGGGGGAGAAGGCAATGCGATGCAGCTGGTAAAATGCAGACAGGTTACCTGGGGTTATCAGAGGGCAGGCAAGTTATAATGTGCCATAAATCCAGCGTCTGTGTGGGAGTAGGGTACTGTTGGGACCCTGCACGGGTGGACTTTTCATCTCAGCCCTGGAATAGAGGCAGACCTAGCAGAGCAGACTTGTGGGAGCAGCGGGGGGGGATGCCCTGGGCCCCTTGGAGCAGCGGGGCAGGATGCCTGGGTCCTCTCCCAGCTCTGGGAGGTGAGCGAGAGCGGAGTGGTTAAAGCAAGGTGAGCTGGGAGCCAGGACGCCCCGGTTCTTCCCCACCCCTGGACAGTGAGTGTGGTGTTTTGGACTAGGATAGGGGGCTGGGAGCCTACATACATGTGCTTCTCTATTCCAGTGATGCTCCATGCTGGCTGGCTTGTGTGCATGTGCCTAGGGCTGTACTGCTGGACTTACTGCGTGGTGTATCTGCATGCTTGCATGACTGTGTGTGTCTCTCTAGTACTGTATCGATCCCGTGCATGCATGCGGAGTTTGAGCAGCAATACCCTGTGATCTCCCTTTGGTGTAGTGCCTACAGGAGGAGAGAATGGTCTCTGCGTGGCCAGGCCCGCGACCTGGGGCATCCTGGGGAGCACTGAAGATGTGTAATAAGTGCTCAGGTCGGACCCTAGCCCAATGTCCTTCCATGGTGCTAGATGGGCTGCTGTGAGATCTAGATTCCCCCTCCCTGCTCCCTTCAATGTCTTTCAGTTCTTTTGTAAGGAAGGTTGAGTGCTTTGCGTGGTTGAGTTTCCCTCTCCGCTGCTGTGATTGCGCTAAGGAAGGGAAGTGAGCCAGGCTGAGTTCCCTTCCCCAGCCCGATTGAAATGTCGAAACAGCATTGAAACAGCTAAACCATTTTGATGAAACAGAATGAAACATTGGTATCAAAATGAAACAAAAGTAAAAAAAAAAAAATACTGTTCCGTCAAAACGTCGAAACGGATGTTGAATCGGAGTGCTGCTGCATCGCACAGCCCTAATGGGTTGGTCCATGGAAGGGGGCAGGGACTTTGCTTCTCTAGGA